ACCTTTAAGTCCCATGCAATATTTAAAGTAAACTAATTTGCGCTAACCATAGCATTGGTAACACTTATCAAAGTTTTATCAGTTTAGGAGTTGTTTTTTACCCTTTATATATAAAGGGTAAAAAACAGCTCTTAAACAGATAAAACTTTGATAAGTGTTACCAATGCTATGGTTTTCGATAAATAAGTATGTCGTATGGCTATATTTTATACGCCATACTTATTTGTCTAAAGTTGGGTTTTCCAACTGCAGTTTATTTATGCATTTTAAAAAGTGCGTTTGATCACGGCTTTATTAGCATTGCGATAAATGATGAATTATTTTCAACTTAGAAAGCATTACCTTTGAAAATTTAAAATAAAAGAATTGTGTTACCTCAAAAAAAAATTGTTTAATGTTTCTTGTGTTTTGTCGTGCAGTTAAAAGTCTTGTTTATTTGTTCAAAGTTGTGATCTTCATTAGGAGAACACAACCTCTATGTCCAACACAATGTTTTAAGTGAACCTATTTGCTATAATGATAGCATTGCTAACACTTATGTAAGTTAGGTCAGTTTAAAAATTTTTTTTTATCCTTTAGACCCTTCCATTATAAATGACCCTCTATACTTTTATAATTGAACAATTGCCCACTTATTTCAGAAACGCCGTTTGCAGACCTCCTCCACCCTGTGGACACTACTTTGATAAAATAGAGCACGTGCTCAGAATTTGTAAAACACCAGTATTTTATAATGGGGTGGTATGTCTTAAACTTAATATGTTTGTTTCTTGGTCAATATTGACCAGGGTTTTTGTGTATCTGTTTAGGAATATTAATGTAAACATTCACACAGATATCTTATGACGTTTATTCTGTACCATAGACATACAACATAAAGTGATAGTCATATTGGTACATACTTAAAAACTTTTACTACAGTTAAAAACTTAGTAGCATATAGATAATTAAGAGAAAAGTCATTTTTCGAATACTCTTTTTACGAATAGCGAATTAAGTTTAAATTAGGCTTATGCTTTTTTTTGTAATGTAGCAAACTTTTTCTTTGTTTATTATATTTATTAGTTGTGCTCTCCGTTTGTAATGCTGAGTTAAAAAAAATGTTTGTTCGCGCTATCTTTAGCATCGCAAAACTTGATAAAGTATTGTCAACTGGTGAAAAAACTACGTAAAAAAATTTAACAAAACGGAGTCATGTTACCTCAAAGTAAAAACGTTAAAGTTTTAGTAAAGCTTGTTTTAAACAAAAAAAAGAGCGGAATAAAGGTTCGTTAAAATAAACTCGTTTAAAAGTTGTGTTTTTATCATCGTTAAAACTACAAAAAATTAATTAAAAAAAGAGGTTTTAAAACAGAAAATGCCTAGTTTTAATTAGAGATACAATCATTCAGAGCTGGCATTCAGTGACCAAGTAGTCAAGATTATTAAATTTTTATCGATGACCACTCCAGTATCTGGGTCTGTTCATGTGCTCGTGTTTATTAATTTTTAAATCGCTAAAGTTTTTTTCAAAGACAAATTATATCGTATAAAATTATATCGTATAAAATGCGGTTTAAAAGGTGCGTTTGATCACGGCTTTTTTAACATTGCAAAAAATGATAAAAAATGATCAATTCAGATAGCATTACCTTTGAAAATTTAACATAAAAGAATCAAGTCGCCTCAAAAAAAAAACGTTTAATGTTTCTTGTGTTTTGTCGCGCAGTTAAAAGTCTTATTTATTTGTTCAGAGTTGTGCTCTCCATTTGGAGAACACAACCCTTAAGTTCCATGCAATGTTTAAAAAGAACTTATTTGCGCCAACCATAGCATTGCTAACACTTATATAAGTTTTGTCAGTTTAAGAGTTGCTTTTTACACTTTGTACATAGCATTTAGAATTGACCCCATATTCTTTTATATTTGACCATTTGCCCACTTATCTCTAAAACACTCTTTGCAGACCTCCACTTCCTCTCTGAGCGTACGTACTTTATGAACAATGCTATGTCTAAAATGTCCTTTTTCTAATGCTTTTCCTATGAATGGCGGATTATATTTAAAAAGGGCTAATGTTTTTTTTAGTAGGTTAGCGAATTTTTTCTCTGTTTATTGTGGTTTCTAATTGTGCTCTCAAACTGTAGTCCGTGTGTAATGCGGAGTGAAAAGTATGTTTGTTTTAGCTATCTTTAGCATTGTAAAAATTGATAAAGTATAACAATTGGAGGAAAACTTACTTTTAAAAACATAACTCAACGGAGTCATGTTACTTCAAAGTAAAAACGTATAAAGTTTTGGTAAATCTTGTTTTAAACAATTAGAAGAGCGGAACCAAAGTTCATTAAAATAAACTTTTTCAAAGGTTGTTTTTTTATCATCGTGGAGACAACAAAAAATTAAATAAAAAAAGAGGTTGTAAAGCAGAAAATGTCTAATTTCTATTAGAGATATGATCATTCAAAGCCGGCATTCGGCGACCATGAAGTCAAGATTATGGAACTTTAGTCGATGACCACTCCAGTATCTGCATTGGTTCATGTGCTCGTGTTTATTGATTTTCAAATCGCCAGAGTTATTTTTAAAGGCAAATTATATCGAGTAAAAATTATGTGAAGTTATACGCCTTATTTAATTATCGCAGCATTGTGCTTTTCAACTGGAGTTCGTTTATGCAGTTATAAAAAAGCGTTTGATCACGGCTTTGTTAGCAATGCTAAAAATAATGAAATATTATCAATTTAAAATTCATTACTTTTAAAAATTGAACATAAAAGAATACAGTCACCTCAAAATAAACTCGTTTTGAAGTTTTTTGTGATTTGTTGTGCAGTTAAAATTCTTATTTATTTGTTCAGAGTTGTGCTCTGCATTTGGAGAACACAACCCTTAAGTCCCATGCAATGTTTAAAAAGAACTTATTTGCGCCAACCATAGCAATGCTAACACTTATCAAAGTTTTGTCAGTTTAAAAGTTTTTTTTTATCCTTTATACCCATCCTTTATAATTGACCCTCCATACTTTCATATAGATTTATTGCCTAGTTATCTCAGAAACGCAATTTACAGGCCTCCTCTTCCTTTCTGAGCGTACAATTTTTTTGGACTATTCCATGTCAAAAAAGCCATTTTTTTAATGATCTATTTACAAATGGCGGTTAAAATTTAAAATGGTTTTTGATTTTTTTTTGTAATGTATTGAATTTTTTCTTTGTTTATTGTATTTTTTAATTGTGATTCCCAACTGGAGTCTGTTAGTAACGCAGAGTAAAAAGTATGTTTGTTCGCGCTGTCATTAGCATCGCAAAAATTGATAAAGTATTATCAACTAGAGGAGAAATTACTTAAAAAAATTTAACATAACGGATTCATGTTACCTCAAAGTAAAAACGTTAAAGTTCTGGTAAAGCTTGTTTTAAACAATTAGAAGAGCGGAGTCAAAGATCATCAAAGTAAACTCGTTTAAAAGTTGTGTTTTTATCATCGTGAAACAACAAAAAAATAAACAAAAAATGAGGTTTTTAAGCAGAAAATGCCTAATTTTCATCAGAGATATGATCATTCAGAGCCGGCATTCAGTGAACAAGTAGTCAATACTACCAAGTAGTCAAGACTAATTTCAGTCGATGACCACTCCAGTATCTGCATCTGTTTATGTGCTAGTGTTTATTAATTTTTAAATCGCTAAAGTTATTTTCAAAGACAAATTATATCGTATAAAATTAGTGTGTAGTTTTACGCCTTTCTTATTTATTGCAGAAATGTGCTATCCAACTGGATAAGTATAAATTACCTTCATTCTGTTTTTAAGAAAAAAGTTATCTCAACTATTCTCCTTAGAAACAAAGTTAATCTTTTTATCAGGCTGCTGAAAAATCAAACTTGTTACTCACTGATAATTAATCAAAACAGGAAACACAAAATAAAAAATTTTTTTTAAAAAAAAAAAAGTAATAATAATAAAAAGTTAAATTGACGCAACCCATCGTAGAGCTACTAACTAATGATATGCTAATATCGAAAGAAACGTTCCAGTTTTGGAATTTGAAAAAAATGAGAGAGGCGTTTAAAATCTTGGTGAAGGAGAATGTTGCTAGAACTTTGTACCAATAAAATGTGGAAAACAAACCGGTTGTTATAAGCAATTATTGCTAACAACTGTAAAAGCCGTGTTGTTTTAGCTGATTTTTAATTTATTGTTTAACTATTTAAATATTTTTTTACCTGAAATTTACTACACGGTAATATGGAGAAAATATTGAAAAATAATAAAATAAAAGAATCAAGTCACATCAAAAAAAAGTCGTTTAAAGTTTTTCGCCGTTTGCAGACCTCCTCTTCCTCTCTGAGCGTACGTACGTTATGGACAATCCAATGTCAAAAAAATCATTTTCCTAATGCTCTTTTTACAAAATGCGGATTATATTCAAAATGAGCATACAGTCATTACGGGTAACTTTGAACGGTTTGCGCTAGGTTTATCTCAACAAAAATTGTTTTACTAACTAGATAACAAATATTTTTACATAAAGAGTGTTCTGATGATCTCTTTTTTCTAGTTTGTTATCATTTTTTTAAATTTGCTAGATATTATGTAAAAAAACAATGTTCAAGTAGGCGTTCAAAGTTACCCTCGCATTTCGGGTAACTTTGAACACTATTAAACTGAATGTCAATTTTAATCTTTTAAATCTAAAAAGTTGTTTAAATTTCTTTGTATAAGTTTAAATTAATTTTTTAAAAAATCTAGTTAAACTATTTCGAGAATAAACAAACAAGTTTTTCAATAAAATATTTCTAGAATAAACAAACAAGTTTTTCAATAAAATATTTCGAGAATAAACAAACAAGTTTTTCAATAAAATATTTCGAGAATAAACAAACAAGTTTTTCAATAAAATATTCACAAAATAATTTTTAAGGTTATAAAAGAAAAAATTAAATAAGACATTATTTTTATATAATTCTCCACAAATAAACACCATTGACTATAAAACTAAATATTACAGTGTTTCCTTCTTTTAGTCTTGAGTTTCAACTAACTCTTTTACAAAATAATCATGATCAAGGAAAACATGTACATAGTGATTGTTTATTTGCTCCAATGAAAAAACTGCATCATTTTGAGATACAGGTAAAACTTGTTCATCGTCTTCAATAACTTGATCAACATTTACGATGCTTGAACTTTGTAAAATATTAAGTTTTTTGTTTATTTTCATAACCATATTATTTGATCCAAGTGGTCTTCCTCTTTTCTTTGCTCGAATATTATCTTGACTTTTTTTTTTATTGTCTCTTTCCTTATAGTATGCTTCTACCTCAGTGGCTGATACCCTTTTCCCTGCTGTTATTGGTAACTTAAATTTTTTGCTTACTTCATAATTAAGATGAATATCATCAACATAATTCCTAAACGATTCTCCAATATTGAGTTGAATATCTATATTTGTAAAACTGGGTAATTTGGAGAGAACATGTTCTGGTAAAAATGGATATATGCCAGTAGCCTTAAATTCTGCTTGGAGATTATGTTCTAGATTTTCTTTACCAACATTAAGAGTAGATTTAATGAGCTGCGTAAATAAATGTTTTGGCAGATTATTAACCTTTTTTCCTCTGGATGTTTTACGCCATTGATTAAGAACTGACCTCCAATTAGCTTTTAAACTCGAGAAATATCCAACATCTAAAGGTTGTAAAAGGTGTGTGGAATTGGGTACCAAACATATAAATGTTATATTATACTTTTCACATATATTTAAGGCTTTTAAAGATATATGAGCACTTAAATTATCGCAAATCAGAATTTTTTTACCTTCCTTATTTATAATATTTGGAACAAAGTGATTTAACAGCCACTCTTCAAATATTTGAATTTCCATCCAGCCACTGCAAGAAGTTGCCATTCTTGATCCTTCTGGTGCATTGAAAAGCCAGTCAGACCAACTGTGTTTTCCTTTAAAAATGAAAAATGGTGGAATTAGTTTCCCTGAGGCATTTCCACAAAAAACAACAGTGTAACAAGTTTTTGTTGTGTTTCTTATAAGTTCTGGATGGCGAGAGGATCGACGAAAAATAAGTTTTTTTTTTCCAGGGTCATCATGAAACCCTGTTTCATCCATATTGTAAATGTTATCTGGCGTTACTCCATTTAATTCCTTCTCTAGATTTTGAAAAAATAATTTTATTTGACAATAATTAATCTGTGCACGTTTCCTTGAAATACAATGAGATACTTTTTCTTTTAATGATGGATGCCTGTCAAGATAAAGTTTACACCACTCCCAACCTGGTCGGTTATCTTTAAACTGTTGTATATTTTTTCCACTATCATCCAAATAGATTTTGACAATACTTTTAAAATCATTAATTCCAATTGGTATACCTTTGTCACTTAAATAAAGTAAGTGATTTTCAAAACAAAGTTCTTCATCAATGCTAAGGGCAATAGGGCGCACTACTGAATTACAGTGTTTATTTTTTAGCTTATAAAATAATGTTGCTTTAGGTACTTTATAAATTTTAGAAGCTTCACCAATCGACATTTTTTCTAATTTAATTTTGGCTAAAGCCTCTTGAAGTGTAGAATTGGTGTAATTAGATTTAGTGCCATATTTTCTTGTGCCAGGATGACTTGTCGAACATTTTCTTGGCATTTTATGAATGCTAAAAATATAAAGATGATTTATGCTATTAATGAAAATTATTTGATTAATCGCATATTTGCTTTTAATAAAATATATTATTAAATCTATCAAGATAGCCATAAATATCAAAAATTAATATATTAGTAATATGTTATAATTTTTAATATTTATAATATCATATATCATTATATAATAAAAATACTATAATAAAAAAATGCCTATTATTTATTATGTATTATTGCAATGTTACTCAGACAACAAAAAAAGCATTTTTGGAAAATATTGATTGTCTAAAGTTACCCTGAATTTGGTTTTATTTTAGCTAAGTGGAAATAAATATCCTTTTTGTAGCAAAAAACATGTTAAATCCTATTATTTTGAGTTTGTATTAAAGTTCGAAAAATAATTCAATAAAATACTTAAAAATCTATTCAGATAATTACAATATAATACCAAATATTCTAAATTGAAAACACACGATGTTATCACCACATTCGACTGTGTAACTGGAAATGGAGGAAAACATTATTTTTGAGAAATAAAATTTAATTTTCTTTGGTCAAACTTTTGTAAAAAAAGATAATTCATCATATTATTCTTTGTTAAAGCAACAGGCAAAGAAAATACCAAAGAAAAAAAAATTTAAAAACATTTACACGTTTAGTTCAATGTTACCCGCAAATTCAAAGTTACCCAGAATGACTGTTTAAATTTTTTTGTAAGTAGCGAACTTTTTTTTTGTTTAGTTTATTTTTTTTAATTGTGCTCTCCAACTGGAGTCCGTTTGTAATGTGGAGTGAAAATAATGATTGTTGGCGCTATCTTTAGCATCGCAAAAATGGATAAAGTATTATCAACTGGATGAGAAATTACTTAAAAAAAATTAACATAAGGGAGTCATGTTACTTCAAAGTAAAAACTTTTAAAGTTTTAATAAATCTTGTTTTAAACAATAGACCTTTTCATAAATATCTGCGACGGAGAAAGAAGATTCTTCAAAGCGAGGCAGTGTTTGTAACAATCAAAACAAACTTTGAGTTTATATTGTTCAAATCACTTTAATATTGTTTTTATAGCAGTAACATAAATAATAATTAAACTATGGAAATACACTCATTCCAAAAGTCGTCAAAACCTACGGGTTGTACAAAAATAAACCATGCAAAGCTTTGATAAAGAACGTTTTTTTGCATACAGTGATGTTACATATACATTATGTAACATCACTGTATACATTATGTATACATAATGCATATATATAATATATACTTAATATATATATATATATATATATATATATATTTATATATATATATGTGTGTGTGTGTGTATATATATATATATATATATATATATATATATATATATATATATATATATATATATATATATATATATATATATATATATATATATATATATATATATGTATATATATATTTTAGAAACTGATTGAAAACTATTTTAAAAAAATCACATTACTGACTATTTAGAAAAGGAAATAATTTAGAAATAGAGAGCTAACCTAAGTCTACAATACTAATACTTTACTCTTTTAAGGCTACAATACTAATACTTACTATATATATATATATATATATATATATATATATATATATATATATATATATATATATATATATATATATATATATATATATATATATATATATATATATATATATATACACACACACACACACACACAGTATTTATAAGTATTTTAGCCTTAAAAGAGTAAAGTATTAGTATTGTAGACTTGGGTTAGCCCTCTATTTTTAGATACTTTCCTTATCTAAATACGCAGTTATGTAATTTTTTTAAAATAGTTTTTAAAATTTAATTTTTAATTACTATATTTTCTATTTAATGATGCTATGTGAAAGTCAAGAAAGTACAAGCTAAACTGCACTTTTAGAAATGATTTTAAAAGTTTAACATCTGCCAGATGTTTATCTTTTGAATCATAAACTAAGTGATGCAATGATGAATAAAGATTTTTATGAATCAAGCAACAAAATTTGAAGGTATTATTTTATTACTTACTTAGCATTGGTCTCAATTACTCATCTTAAATAAAACTAAAAAAAATGTTGCTTTGGCTATTCTGTTCATTAATTAGACATTTACTACTTGTCTAACTTATTTAACAAAGTGTACCAACAAGAAGGTAAGCCGTAGGACTTTGCACTCCATTTGTAAATTGTCATGTTGTTGCCTAAGATTAGCTCTCCATTTCTGGATTCTTTTCTTTTTCTTAATTGGCAGTTATGTAATTTTTTTTAATAGATTTTTTGTTTTAATTTTTACTAAATAAAAAATCAACTTAAATATAAAATAAAATACATAAATATGGTCAATAAATGAAAAAAGTAAATATTTAAGTAATATTAGGTAAAAACCAATTCTAAGCTCTTCCACTAAATCAGAAAAAGTATTTAAAACTTTCAACATCAGGAGTTATTTCTTGATTAATAAATTATTTTTTTTTTTCAATTAAATTTTTTATTTATTGCATTTTTTTGTATTTTTGTCTTTTTCTCTTTGTTTTTTAAATTCTTCACAAAATAGCTCCAAAGACACAAGTATAATGCAACATCTTTATGTTTCTTCTCTTGACTTTACATATCTTTTACACTTTTAGAACTCTTTTACTTGCTAAAATAGCTAATTTGCTAAAATTTATACAATGATCTGACAAATCATATTTTTTCATATATATATTTAGTATATATACTATTTTCACCATGTACCAACTATAATATTTGGCCTTTATAATAATTGAATTTTATGAATATATTATTATTATTATTACTATAGTATTCTCTCCACAAAGAATAGTAAGTTTTTCTCTGCCCTTAACCAAATGATGGTAAAACAATATTAACACTAAATGGTCTATAGTATTCTGCTATTGTAAAGCCACAGTCACTCATTACAGTTTTACCTTGATTAACGTAATAAACATAAATCCTTTTCTGGGTGCATTTCCTACTAAAACTTTAACTATTGTATTTTTATTATCTAATTACATAATTTTGTGCATAAATAATCAAGATAGTTTATTAACTTTGTAATCTACACAATCAACGATAAATTTTACAGTAGGGAGCTTTTCCTGCATTCATTACGAAATTTTCTTCCTAACTCACTCTATACAAGGCCATATGCAGATGTCTTATACATAAAATTTATCCATGTATTTACAGTGTTTAAAACTGTTCTATCTGAAATATTGTATAAAAATAAATAAAAACAAAGATCACAGTTCACGTGTAAATAAGTCAATGTTAAAATAAATGCATCAAGCGGCTTTAATACTCTTGTTCGTCCGGTAGATGAACTGTTTTTGTTTATTGATTGTTATAAAAAATTGTTTTTTCCATTTTTTTCCAGGATTTAAAAATGCTTAAACAGCTTGGTTATTGATGGAAATCCAGTATAAACTATACTGGATAAATGAATCTACTAATTTACCTTCAGCAACATTTACTTTAAAGTCTACTTCCTCTAGTGGCACTGACAATAATGTCGATAAAGAGATATCTACTTCATTTTGTAGCGATGAAAATTGTGCTGATGCAAACGAATCGTCATCGACATTTTCAAACAAACATTGCCTGAAACTTTGTGGTTTTCTGGATTTATCTGACACTGAAAATTTATTTCATGAGTGCAATATTGTCCTAAAAAATTTTATAAGTTTTATTTGTGTACCAAATGGGGTTTTATGGACCATTTCTTGTAAGAAATGCTTTTGACATAATCAACTAGATTTGTTGTCTTTAAATTATCTTTATTTTCTTGTCTTTTTATTAAGTTACACCAAATATTTCTTTCTACAGTTAAAAATGTGAAAAATATAATATTTGTTGGAACTCTAATTCCATTTACATTATCTATCATAGCTATTTGAAAAACATTTAGAAAAAGCACATTGCAACCCATACAATATCGCCATTTTTAAACATCGTCGATTTGTTTTGATTGTTACAAACACTGCCTCGTTTTCACGGAATGCTTTATGAAAAGGTCTATTAGAAGAGTGAAATCAAAGTTAAACTCGTTTAAAAGTTGTGTTTTTATTTTCGGGGAAACAACAAAAAAATATATATAAAAAAAAGTTGTAAAGCATAAAATGCCTGATTTTTCTTAGAGATATGATCATTCAGAGCCGGCATTCAGTGACCAAGTAGTTAAGACTATTGAATTTCAGTCGATGACCACTCTATTATCTGCATCGGTTCTTGTGCTCGTGTTTATTTTTATTACCATTAAACTAAACTCGTTTAAAAGTTGTGTTTTTATTTTCGGGGAAACAACAAAAAAATATATAAAAAAAAAAAGGTTGTAAAGCATAAAATGCCTGATTTTTCTTAGAGATATGATCATTCAGAGCCGGCATTCAGTGACCAAGTAGTTAAGACTATTGAATTTCAGTCGATGACCACTCTATTATCTGCATCGGTTCTTGTGCTCGTGTTTATTTTTATTACCATTACACACTTTTCGAAGTTTTGTCAGTTTAAAAAATTCGAATTTTTTCAAAATTGAATTTTTTATCTGAATAGTGTTGAGAGAAATCGTAAGACTTTTATAACGTACTAAAAATAATGTATGTGTTACCAACAAAAATTAAAACAGGATACCAGACAAGCTCACCCATGTGGGCCCCATAGGAAAACCACGGCTATAATCTGGCGGAACACTGACGCACCTTACTGTTCAAAGATCAAAACATTCTTTAAAAAAAAAATTGTTAAACGAAAATGTAATTTTTCTTTAACCTGTTACCAAAGTAAAATGTATGTTAAGGTGGTACACTTCTATTTATTTTTAAAATTTATTAGTAAATTTACGTTTTAAAGTTTTGTTGTTTTTTGTTCATAGAACATAATTATAGTTTTGTTTTTAAATATAATAATTAAATAAGTGTGTGTACATTCGCCATTAGAAGGTTTTGAGGTTCATAGAAACGACATAGCATCGCCTTTTTAAAGAAGAAATATATTTCTTGTTATGGCTTCTAATCAACAATATTTTTTTCATAATACACCTTTTTCTTTATTATGTGCTTTATGTTTAATAATTGTTATAAATGGGCTCTCATGCTTTTTTTTGTATTGTAGCGAATTTTTTCTTTGTTTATTGTATTTTTCTAATTTTGCTCTCCAAGTAGAGCCCGATTGTAAGGCGACTTGACTGCTAATAAATAGGGGCTCTATGAAAAGATTGTTGTGATTTTAGTAATCCGTATCTTATTTGAGCCCCTAGTAGCCATATATGGTTGAAACAGACTTCAAATGGAGTCCGCTCTTTATTTGGAGAACACAACCCTTAAATCCCATGCAAAGAATGTTTAAAGTGAACTTATTTGCGCCAACCATAGCATTGCTAACACTTATCAAAGTTTTGTCAGTTTCATAAATTAGATTTTTTAAAATTTAGATTTTTTATTTAAATAGTGTTGAGAGAAATCGTACGAGTTTTATAACGGTTTAAAAATAGTGTATGTGTTACCAATAAAATTTAAAAGTAACAGTTAAATTAAATTTTTTTAGAGCTCATTTTGAAATTAGATGTTGTGTAAAAAAGGGTTTCAAAGATTTCGTTTTAAGAACAATGGAAAAACTTCAATTTTTCGTTCTTTAAAATCTTTGAAAAACAGCAATTGGTTAGGACCCACAAAAGATATCTGACAAACTC